GGGGGGCAGCGGGGTGGTGGGGATTTAAGGGCTGAGCTAATGCTCCGTGACAGCAGTTTAGGAGATCCACACTTCCTCACCATTATTTACCTTCATGGCATGGGGAGGGAATGGGGTCTATGGTGCAGTGCCCAGCCCAGAGGAAGGTGGGGGGGGGGCTGTGACTTCAGGGCAAAGGCCCCTCCCAGAACAAGGCAGCTGGAGGGGGTTAAGTGTTTTGCTCAGTATTTATTTCCTAATTGTCGTGTTCATTGTGTCAAAACTGCCTCAGCAACATTGGATCTGCATATTTATTATAATAATAATAAAGTGCTTTGAGGGGGAGAGAGAAAGGGAGGAGAACAGAGAAGATGAAAGGGAATGAAAAGCAAAGGGTGGAGTGGGTGGGGGTGCCACCCGAAATGAGGAAGAGTACGGGTGAAGGCATCACTGGAGGCCCAGAAGTGACCTTGCAGGGGGCTCCCACTCTTATCGAAAGGACAGGAATGAGGGATGGAAGAGATGAGGGACAAGAGAAGGATGGGAAGAGCGAGCGAGAGAGAGATCAACCTTCCCTTATCCTGCACGGGTGACTCATTACAAACCCCGACTTATCGATTCCCCGATTAGAGGCGACGTGCGTGAACGAAAGTGCGTCTCATGCAGGACACTCGATAATACACCGGCAGCCCCAGCGGCTCACGATCACGTGGACTGCGAGTGTGAGAAAGCGCATCTCCGCAACACAGAGGGTCCTAATCAACAGCGGCATTTCTATGTCTTTCCGGCAAGCGGAAGGACTGACACACGGACTAGGAGAGAGGGGGGCTGGCCCAAAAAGGCAGGGAGGTACAGATGCAGTAGCCAATGTAAACCAGTAGGGGGCATTTCATCGCAGCCCATTAAGGTCCAACCCCCAGCGACATAGGATCTGCTTCAAAAATATGTCAGATAAAAGACACATGGGTCTTTCAGAAGACGAGCTGGGCCAGGCTGCACCACTTCACATCCACTCCACACATGGCCACCCATGGAACATTCTGCTATGGCCCGTTCAGGGTTTAGCCAATCAAGGCTGAGCTGAGGGGGGACCCCTCATGTTCATGTGACCAATCAGGGTGCAGTATGTCTGCAATGTGTACAGTATGCTCCTCGCTCAGCTGGCGCCTTGTGAGTGACTGGGCTTTAAAAGCTCTACAAAGATATGAGGGGGGGGGGGGGGGGGGG